TTGTTGAGGTGGTTTGGTCATTTAGAGAGAATGGATCAAAGTAGAATGACATGGAAAGCATATAAATCTATAGGGGAAGGAAGGAGGGGTAGGGGTCATCCTCGAACGGGTTGGAAAGAGGGGGTAAAGGAGGTTTTGTGGGCTAGGGGCTTGGATTTCCAACAAGCGTGCATGAGTGTATTAGATAGGAGTAAATGGAGGCGAATGATACTTGGGACCTGACGATCTGTTGGAGTGTGAGCAGGGTAATATTTAGTGAAGGGATTCAGGGAAACCGGTTATGTTCATATAGTCGGACTTGAGTCCTGGAAATGGGAAGTACAATGCCTGCACTTTAAAGGAGAGGTTTGGGATATTGGCGGTTTGGAGGGATATGTTGTGTATCTTTATACGTATATGCTTCTAAGCTGTTGTATTCTGAGCACCTCTGCAAAAGCAGTGATAATGTGTGAGTGTGGTGAAAGTGTTGAATGATGATGAAAGTATTTTCTTTTTGGGGATTTTCTTTCTTTTTTGGGTCACCCTGCCTTGGTGGGAGACGGCCGACTTGTTGAAAAAAAAAAAAAAAAAAGTTTACTTAGTCCTAGGTAGTAGGTTGGTAGACAGAAACTGCCCATGAAGGTACTACCATCTTGCCAAGTGGATATAAAACGAAAGCCTGTTATTGTGTTACATGATAAGATAAGATTTCGTTCGGATTTTTAACCCCGGAGGGTTAGCCACCCAGGATAACCCAAGAAAGTCAGTTTGTCATCGAGGACTGTCTAACTTATTTCCATTGGGATCCTCAATCTTGTCCCCCAGGATGCGACCCACAGCAGTCGACTAACACCCAGGTACCTATTTGCTGCTAGGTGAACTGGACAACAGGTGTAAGGAAACGTGTCGAAATGTTTCCACCTGCCAGGAATCGAACCCATGCCCTCCGAGTGTGAAGCGGGAACTTTAGCCAACAGGCCACAAGGCCACCTATCTCATAAACATGCAAGATTTCAGGTACATATGTCTTTCTACTTCTACTTGCACTTAGGTCATACTACACATGCATGTACAAGCATATACAGTCTCTCCTCACTTAGCTATGTACTCGTTTACCAACGTTTTGGACTTACGACGGGCTCTCTGACCAGTATTTATACCTAAATAATGTATATTAGAGCTGATTTCCTCAATTCTGTTTATTACAGTATACAGTACACTCCTGTATAAACATTTAAAAATATACCAGAAATGTTATAAATGGTGTAAGATGACATTAAAACAATATCAAAGATGGTTGACACAAATCCACCACCATTATAGTATGCTCCTCGTTTAGTGATGAATTCGTTTACTGACGGGGTCTTAGGTCCCTATCTCCTTCGTTAAGCGAGGAGAGAGTGCATATGCACTCCACTCTGGGTTTTCGTCTATTTTCTTACTAATTCTTGTTCTTGTTTATTTCCTTTTATCTCCACGGAGAAGTGGAACAGAATTCTTCCTCTGTAAGCCATGCGTGTCATAAGAGGCAACTAAAATGCCCGGAGCAAGGTGCTAGTAACCCCTTCTCCTGTATACATTACTAAAGTTAAAAAGAGAAACTTTCCATACACTTTGACTGGTATCCTGAGTGTACCAGGTAAGGTTATTATTGAAAGATTCAGAGGTAAGACAGAGAGCAGAATTGCAGATGAACAAGGATGCTTTAGAATGGGTAAGGGATGTGTAGATCAAGTGTTTACATTGGAGCATATAAGTGAACAATATTTAGATAAAAGCAGGAAAGTTTTCATTGCATTTGTGAATTAGAAAAGGCATATTATAGGGTGGATAGGGGAGCAATGTGGCAGATGTTGCTCTACTTCGAAATCACCTCATCTCCCAAAATTAACAACACAAACACTCTATATTATTGCCACCATCAACTCAAAAATTGCCAAATTTTATAAAATTATTTGAAAACTAAAATGGTCTCAATCTCATTAATATAATGTGCTAAATATAATACTGTAACTTGTTATTCAACTACTTGTTAATTTAATTACTGCTAAACCACTACTAGCTCTGTTGATATATAAAAAACAATGTTCAATTTGAACCAGCTATGATGTATATGTATATGTCTAGTATTAAGTAGATTGTAAAGCATTAGATTTAGTCTGCCCAAAATGCCTCTGCATGATAGTGGCTTTCGTTGCACTTAACAAATTAATATTGTAATTACACATTATAAACTATGCAAGGAAATAAACTCCTTAATCCTTAAGTGTATGGAATAGTTACTGAGTTACTAAGTGCTGTAAAGAGTTTTTATGAGGATAGTGAGGCTCAGGTTAGGGTGTGTAGAAGAGAGGGAGATTACTTCCCAGTAAGAGTAGGCCTTAGACAGGGATGTGTAATGTCACTAATGATTGTTAATCATATTTATAGATGGAGTTGTAAAGGAAGTAAATGCTAGGGTGTTGGGGAGAGAGGTAGAATTAAATTATGGGGAATCGAATAAAGAATGAGAGTTGACACAGTTACTTTTTTACTGATGATAGTGTGCTTTTAGGAGATTCTAAAGAAAAGTTGCGAAAGTTAGTGGACAAGTTTGGGAAGGTGTGTAAAAGAAGAAAGTTGAAAGTGAACACAGTTAAGAGTAAGGTGATGAGGGTATCAAACGAGTTTAAGAGAAATTGGATATCACATTGGAGGGAGGAAGTATGGAAGAAGTGAATGTGTCCAGACATTTGGGGGTAGATTTATCAGCAGATGGATTTGTGAAGGATGAGATTAACCATAGAATTGATGAAAAGAAAAGGTGAGTGGGGCATTGACTTCTGTGGAGACAAGAAACGTTTTCCATGGAGGCAAAGAAGGGAATGTATGAGAGTTTAGTGGTACCTACACTCTTATATGGGTATGAAGCATGGGTTATGAATGCTGTAGCAGTAAAGATGTCATGTCTAAGTGCAATGTGTGGTGCAGAGAGATTGTAATGTGGAAATTAGGAGGTGTGAAGTTACTAAAAGTATTATTCAAGAGAGCTGAAGAGGGGATGCTGAGGTGATTTGGTCATTTAGAGAAGGTGGAGGAAAATAGGATGACTTGGAGGGTGTTTAACCCTTTCAGGGTCGAGAGGCCCTCTCCTAAACTCGTTCTCAGGGTCGAAAATTTTTTGAAAAAAAAAAAAAATATATATTTTCTTAAGAAATGATAGAGAACCTTTTCCCGATCATAATGACACCAAAAGTATGAAATTTGATGGAAAACTTACAGAATTATGCTCTCGTGAAGTTAGCGGTCTCGACGATGTTTATGCATCGGCGATTTCGCCCACTTTGAGCCCTATTTTCGGCCAATTCCAGTGTACTAGTAGACAAAAATCATATCTATTTTGCTAGAACTCCATTTTTTTCTATCGAATGAGTACAAGAAACCACCCATTTACCAATTTCAACTATCCAATAAAGTGGTCAGAATTTGGCAATTTTGCCAATTTCACAAATTTCAGAAGATGCCAATTTCCAAATAGGGTCCAGAATAAACAAGACAGACATTCTTGGCACTAAAATAACATTTTATCTGTTCATTAGTCATGTCCCCAGGCCCCTCTTACATCTCTTTTGTTTTCCACTTCGAATTTTTATTATCACAAAAAATAGATTTACTGTTATGCAGACTACTGCATTAGTGTAGAAATAGTATAAATAATATCAGCGCACTTGTTAAAGAATATTAGACTCACCAGTTGACGTGTATTGGACGCTTGGCATAATTTGTTTACTTTCGAACTTTGGTGAAAATCGAACATTTCTGCTACTTTGAGCTCAATTTCAAGGTACTTTTCATTATGAAACCAGTCAAAATCATCTCAATTTCTGTAATATGTCTTTCATTCTAATTCTATAAAATGAGACCAGGAAAACTAAAATACAACCATAAATACCATACAAAAATACACTGCAAATTCGCTGTTTTAAAACAAAAACACAGTCGGAGTTTTTTTTCTCATTATGCACTGTGTGCTGCAGGATTTTTTTTATACTGTGCACACTGACCACATAGACCCATTCTTTCATATGTAGGCCTACTAGCTTTCTCTCACTAGATTTGAAGGCGCTAGAATTTAGGCGTACTTGTACGTCGGAAACCCTGAAAGGGTTAAATCTGTACTGGAGGGGAGGAGGGGTAGGGGTCATTCTAGGAAAGGATGGAGGAGGGGGTAAAAGAGGTTTTGTGTGCAAGGGGCCTGGATATTCAGCAGGCATGTGTGAGCATGTTAGGAGTGAATCTAGATGAATGTTTTTTGGGACTTGACTAGCTGTTGGAGTGTGAGCAGGGTAATATTTTGTGAAGGGATTCAGGGAAACTGGTTCCCCGATTAAAGTCCAGAGGTGGGAAGTACAGTGCCTGCACTTTAAAGGGGGGTTTTGGGGATATTAGCTGTTGGGGGCATCTAAACTTTAATCTGGGTCCCCTTGCAAAGACAGTGATTAGTGTGAATGATGGTGAAAGTGTAGAATGATAGGGAAAGTCTTTCTTTTTTGGGTTACCCAGCCTCGGGGGGAGACGTGATGTTATAAAAAGAGTAAATAAATTTTCAGTTTTTTTTTTTTTGAAAATTTTTTTTTTGTGTTTTGTGTAAAATTGGGTGATCATCTCCTGACTTTTGTGATTTCATTTGGGCCATCATTAAAATTTGGATATATTTTTTTTTTTTAATTTTTTTATTAACACATTGTTGGGATTCCCACCAAGGCGGGGTTTGGGCCTAAAACAAAAAAACTTTCATATTTTCACCCCATCACTGTCTTGCCAGGGGCATGCTTACACTTCAGTTATAAAACTGCTATTAAACCCTTCTTCTTGTTTCTGTTCTTTATTAATGACCCTTTTATTATTTTTTCCCTTTAGAAACTGCCTTACCTACTTTTTATCAAAATGGAAAAAAAGGGTACTCTAAGCCTTCCTAAAAACAATTCATTGCTTTTCACAGTAAACAAAAATAATTTTATGAATTGCTTTTGGTATTGCAGAGATAGAAATGAATATCTTCTACATGAGAACCTGAGAAAAGCCTTCATACACGAGGGCCGAGATATGGATTTTCCCAGGTAACTTGTTATATTCAACTTTGTTTCATAATTTAAATAATAATCTTTTTTCTTTCAACAAACTGGCCGTATCCCACCGAGGCAGGGTGGCCCAAAAAGTAAAACAAAAATTTCTCTTTTTAACTTTAGTAATGTTTACCGGAGAAGGGGTTATTAGCCCCTTGCACCTGGCATGTTAGTTGCCTCTTACGACATGCATGGCTTACGAAGGAAGAATTCTTTTTCACTTCCCCATGGAGATAAGAGGAAATAAACAAGAACAAGTGTAAAAAATAAAAAAAAAACGAGAGGGATGTGTATGTATATTTTTTTTTTTTCCTCAACAAGTCGGGCGTCTTTCCCCCCCGAGGGGGGGGACCCAAAAAAAAAGAAAAACCCCCCAAAAAAAAAAACTTCTCATCATTCAAAAATTTCACCCCCCCCAAAAACCTTTTTTAAAACCTTTCAATAAAAAGTTTAAAAAATCTTAAAAAACCCCAAAAATTTAAAAAAATAAATTATAAAAATAAAAAAATTTTTCGTTTAAAAAAGGGGTTTTTTGGGGGTTTGTTGGAAAAAATAAGGCCCAAAATTTTGGGGCTTTTAAAGTTAAAAAAACCCCCCCTTTTCATCCTGGGAGGGAGGTAACCCTTTTTTGGGAAAAACAAATTTAAAAGGGGTTGGGGATTTTAAAAAAAAAATTAAACGGGTTTAAAATTACAGAAATTTAAAAGCAGGGGGGGTATATTTATTGGGGATTTTTTCAAAAATTTATAAAAAGGGGGGTACTAGGGTTGGGGAAAACAAAGTTTTAATAAAAAAGGGGAAAAAGAGACTGTAAAATTATAGAGGAATAAGCTTACTTGAGTATACAGGAAAAGTGTACGGTAGGGTTATAATTGAAAGAATTAGAGGTAAAGACAGAATGTAGGATTGCGCGATGAGCAAGGAGGTTACAGAGTGGGTAGGGGATGTGTAGATCAAATGTGTTTACATTGAAGCATATATGTGAACAGTATTTAGATAAAGGGTTAGGGAAGTTTTTTGGCATTTATGGATTTAGAAAAGGCATATGATAGAGTGGATAGAGGAGCGCAATGGGAGATTTTGCAAAGTATATGGTCATAGGTGGTAGTTTTTAGTTGCTGTAAAGAGTTTTTATGAAGATAGTGAGGCTCAGGTTAGGGTGTGTGATGAGAGGGAGGACTATTTCCCGGTTTAAAGTAGGTCTGAGTCAGGGATGTGTAATGTCACATGGTTTGTTTAATATATTTATAGAATGGGGTTGTGAAGGAAGTAAATGATAGGTGTGTTTGGGAGAGGGGGTGGGGTTAAAATTATGGGGAATCAAATTCAAAATGGGAATTGACCAGGTACTTTTTGCTGTTGATACATGTGCTTATGGGAGAATTCTAAGAAAATTCGCCAAAGGTTAAGTGATGAGTTTTGGAATTGTGTAAAGTAGAAAGTTGAAGTGAACCATAGAAAAGAGTAAGGTTGATGAGGGTTGTAAACACTTTTGAAATTTAGATAACAGAAATAATTGGGATATCAAATTGAGGGAGGAGGGAGAGTAGGAAGAAGTGAAAATTTGGTTTTCTGATACTTGAGGGAGTTGACGTGATGTCGGCGGATGGATTTATGAAGGATGAGGTTAATCATAGCAATTGATGAGGGAAAAAAAAAGGTGAGTGGTGGTTGAGGTATATGTGGACGTCAAAAAAAAGTTATTATGGAGGCAAAGAAGGGGAATGTATGAAAGTATAGTAGTACCAACACTCTTATATGGGTGTGAAGTTGGGTGGTAAATGCAGCAGCGAGGTGAGACGGTTGAGGCCAGTGCAGATGTCCTGTTTAAGGGCATATGTGTGTGTAAAATTATGCAGAAAATTCGGAGTGTGAAATTAGGAGAAGGTGTGGATGTGGAGTTAATAAAGTATTAGTCAGAGGGCCGAAGAGGGGTTGTTGAGGTGGTTTGGTCATTTAGAGGAATGGTTCAATGTAGATTGACATGGAAAGCATATAAATCTATAGGGGAAGGAAGGGGGGTAGGGGTCGTCCGAAAAGGGTTGGAGAGAGGGTGTAAAGGAGTGTCTTTGTGGGTAAGGGGTTGGACTTCCAGCAAGCGTGCAGTGAGCGTGTAGATAGGAGTGAATGGAGACGAATGGTACTTGGGAACCTACATCTGTTGGGTGTGAGCCGGTAATATTTAGTGAAGGGTTCAGGGGAAACCGGTTATTTTCTTATAGTGTGACTTGAGTCCCTGGAAATGGGTAAGGACAATGCCTGCACTTTAAGGAGGGGTTTGGGTATTGGCAGTTTGGAGGGATATGTTGTGTATCTTTATATGTGTTTGCTTCTAGACTGTTGTATTCTGAGCACCTCTGCAAAAAACAGTGATAATTTGCGAGTGTGGTGAAAGTGTTTGAATGATGATGAATGTATTTTTTTTTTCTTTTTGGGGATTTTCCTTTCTTTTTTGGGTCACCCTGCCTCGGTGGGAGACGGCAGACTTGTTGGAAAAAAAAAAAAAAAAAAAAAAAAAAAAACTATATATATATATATATATAATATATATATATATATACATAAATTCTTCTTCTTTCAACACACCGGCCGTATCCCAACCGAGGCGGGGTGGACCCAAAAAAGGAAAAAAACGAAAGTTTCTCCTGTTACATTTAGTAATATATACCAGGAGAAGAGTTACTAGCTCCTTCTCCGATGGCCTTTTAGTCACCTCTTAACAACACGCCATGGCTTTACGGAGGTAGAAATATACATATATATATCTATATCGCTTTCTTTCAACACACCAGCCCTTCCCACTGAGGCGGGGTGGCAAGAAAAAAAACAGACGTTTCTTCATTTACATTTAGTAATATATACAGGAGAGGGGTTACTAGCCCCTTGCTCCCGGCATTTTAGTCACCTCTTACAACACACATGGCTTACGGAGGAAGAAATATACATATATATATATATATATATACAGTGGACCCCCGCATAACGATATTAATCCGTTCATGAGAGCTCATTGTTATGCGAAATTTAACGTTTAATGCGATGAATTTTCCCCATAAGAAATAATGGAATTGATAATAATCCGTGCAAGACACCCAAAAGTATGAAAAAAAAAATTTTTACCACATGAAATATTAATTTTAATACTCACAAACTGAAAAGGCATTCACAATTACATGACACTTACCTTTATTGAAGGATCTGCGTGATGATTGATGGGATGGGAGGAGGAGAGAGTCTTAGTGTTTAGAAGGGGAATTCCCTTCCATTAAGACATGAGGTTGTCAAGTTCCTTTTCTGGGGTTACTTCCCTTCTTCTTGTAATGCCACTAGGACACAGCTTCAGAGTCATGGACTTCTTCGCCAACATATCTGTCATAGAGGCCTGTACCTCTCGTTCTTTAATGACTTCCTCTAAAGTGTTTTCACAACTTTGTCAGTGTAATAGTCACCAGCACGGCTTGCAATAGCTGTGTGAGGGTGATTTTCATCCATAAAGGTTTTGCTCTTTCAGGCCAAATTACACAGATTTCCTAATCTTTGTAGTAGGCAACATCTATCAATTTCTCTCTCCTCTCCGAACCAGTTTCCTCCAGGTTTCTGGCCTCTTGTGTGAAGTTGATCTAGAAGCTTCATCGGTGGTTAGTTCTTCATTGTCTTCTCCACCACTCTTCACATCATCACCACTAACCTCCAACCCCAAGGACTTCCCCAATGCACATTTGATTCCTCAACTGGCATAGGATTCCTAGGGTAGCTCAAACCCTTCCAAAATCCCTTTGGTCTACAAATTCTGGCACAGTTTCTTCCAGCCAGAGTTCAATGTCTCTTAGTCCACTCCCTCCCAAGCCTTACCTATACAGTTTACTCAATTAGAGGTTATTAAAGTGCTCTCTCTAACTCTCTTTAGAGTCAGTTGAGTTTCTGGGTCACTAACAAAGCACCTTTCAAAACCAGAGCTTTTTGTGTACAGTTTTTTTGAAGTTTGCCATAACCTGCTGGTCCATGGGCTGCGGAGAGGGGAGTGGTATTAGGAGGCAAAAACTTCACCTTATGAACCTCATGTCCCCATAAAGTCGATTTGCCACGTTTGTAGGATGACCAGGGGCATTGTCTAACACCAGGAGGCACTTAAGGTCTAATTTCTTTTCAGTTAGGTTAATGTCTTTCACAATGGGAGGCAAATGCATGGTGTAACCAGTAAGAAAAAGTCCTAGTGACCCATGCCTTACTGTTTTGCACCTCCACAGCACACACAAAATTAGCCTTGAGGATATTCTTTTGCTCCTGAACGCTCGTGGCGTTTCTTGAGTGATACACTAAAAAGGCTTCACTTTGCAATCCACAGTAGTTAACATATGGAAACACATCAACAGAGTAAAGCCTGTCTTTTCATAGGCTTATGTCCTGGGAAGAGTGCCGTTTCCTCCTGAGTAATGTAGGTACTGCTTGCATTTTCTTCCAAAACAGGCCTGTTTATCACAATTATCACTTGTTCTGGTTTTCAGTCCTTCACTGCTCTATGTAACTCCTTGGAATTCCTGACATTTTTTCAGCTGCTTGGTGGTCCGAAACTGGAGGCCTTCACCATGCCTTATCATACTCTGTATGCCACTACGCTTCTTAATTCTCTCTAACCAACCTTTGCTGGCTTACAATTCCCTCACATCATCAATAGTTGGGCAGGCATTTTTTTATTTAATCCTGATGCATCTTCCTTAGCCTTTTTCACTTATGATCACTTGAGAGATGCTATCTCCTGCTATCTGTTTTTCATTTATCCACACAAAAAGAGTCTCTCATCATCTTTCCATCACTTGCGAATCTCTGTTTCGAAAACACAGTTGATACCTTTGGCCAAGAGAACAGCTTCCTTTTTGGCCTTTTTGTTGCCCACAATAGTAGAAAATATCGATGGTGATTGGGCGTTTATTATACACCTGGCCAGCTCGGAGACACGCACTCCACATTCATATTATCAATGATATCCTTTCTTC